GATGAGAGAGATGAGAGAGATGAGAGAGATGAGAGAGATGAGAGAGACAGTGAGACAGTGAGAGAGTGAGAGTGAGAGTGAGCGAGTGCGGCCGCAAGATACGCAACGCTAACCGCATGCCAAAGAGCGACGACAGGACGGAGTCGAACTTGCGAAGAGGGAGGAGGGAGGGAGGGAAGATGGGAGGAAGACAAGGAGGAGGAGAGGGGGGGAGGTGGGGAGAGGGGGGGGTGGGGAGGGGGGGGGGGGGGGGGGTCTTCGACCTGAAAAATCAGGGGTTAGGATTTGCACCCGGTCGAAAGAAACCTTGCTATCGCAAGAGTAACTCCAGCTAGCTTCGCTAGCTTTCGTGATTATAATGACTTATAATGATTAATATTGATTAATAATATAAGTGTTGCCGTGTCCAGATTCGATCAGCAGTGTTTGGGTCGATGCCTGGTTCTCATGCTGTTATATGCTGTTCACGATCTTCACACAACAACAGCGGCTCCTCGTTCACAGCTTCCTGAGGGTGTCCCATCCTGAGTGAGTGATTGGTTTCCACGCGCTCGAGCCGCTCGGGCAAGGAGGACGGTTGCATCTTTGCTCCTGCCCTACACACCTACACGACATGCAGACCTGCCATTTCAGTGCCCTGCATGCTTCTCCGCGGCTCCTTCTGCAGGCCTTCCTTGGCGATTGAAGTGTTTTTGGTAATTCGCGGCAACACGTGTGTGGTGGGAGAAAGACGTGAGACAGGCTAGAAGAGAGACTCCAACATGCTCCAAGTGTCCCAGGCGTCCTCTAGTTCGGGCTTTTCCATATTGAGAATCTCGCACAGCTCCTGAAGAGGGGTTCGTGCTTGGTCAACACGGAGCCAAACTCAAAAACACAAAGGCGTAAAGGGTTTCTTCTTCAGTACCACCAGTTGAAATCTAATTGGTCTAGAGTCTATGCTCATCAAGGTTCCATTCCACATGAACCTTTTCCGCTCAATCTGAGTTTTCAGTTCTCTCAACTTCAAGGCCTGGCAAATGTCTTCATCCGTTAGGATGGCCTGAGAGAGGCGTTCGACCATTGAGCCACTCGTGACGCCCAAGAAATGCAACACGGCAACAGGCAGTGTCAAAAAAATGTGCTCAACAAAGTACCAACTTCAACGGTCTATCTGCCACACCTTGTAGGTAGCGTGTGTGAGGAAACCTGCACTCACTGTGACAAGAAGAACAAGGTGCCACGATGTGAAATGGCAGTGCCGCCAAGTGGCCATTATCAGCATAAGCAGTGAAGACCTTCTCCAAGTATTTTGAACTGTGTTCATCTTCCTTTCTTTTCTTCTCTTCCTGGCAAGATCGCTCTAAGACTGCGGGGGGATCTTCTCATTCTGTGCCCTATGCCATCAATTCGCCCAGGAAACGTCGAAAAGAGCTGACTCTTCCCGAGCACAGAACGGCGTGCGTTCCGTTTCGGGCGTTCCGTTTCCCAGCTTCCTCCACTTCCGTGGCATGATCCTCCGCCGCCGTGGCCATTTTGTCCGCGACCTCACGTCCGTCGTGCGTGGATCAGGTGGTGGCCCATGTCGTCCTGTTTTTTCTCCGGGGCCCATGCCACACCGGTGAGCACCGAGAGAATGGCCTGGGAGCACCGTGACAACTTGACTGGATGATCTTAATGAGTGCGTAGATACTTGTGATCCGGAGGCAAACCAAAATTTCTCGTGCTACAGGACTTCGCCAGACTTGGCACCTTTTGTCTCACAAGCAGTGGCGCTCAGGCTCTGGCGAAGCTGGTGAAAATCATGTAGAATGCCTTGCAGATTTGTAGTTCAGCAAAGGCCAGGCCAACCCTTTTATGACGTGCAAAAAAGATGCAACCTTGAATTCGCAGATGCAGAATCATGGTGTCGAATGGGTGGCAACACAACACTCCAGGCTACCAAGAAAGAAGCAATTCAATTGACACTCTAACTGGGCCAACTTTGGGTGGCAGTCTTCAACGAAACACTGCAAGGGCAGGAGGAATTGGCATGTCTCAAACTAGGTAGCTTGATGAGCTTGCTGGGACTGTCGTGCGGCAATGTGAAAAACAATGGAAACGAAAAGCCTGATATGTGGCCACGTGAGGCCGAACACACATGTCCTTTGACCCTTTTCGCAGCACACATCGTTGAACCTTCGCACGGAAGCCCGTGCCAGGACGTCGTCTGAGTGTTCGGACAGCGAAAACGAGTGTGCCGGGATAGGCGTCGAAGAGGGGCTGCATATCACCAGGGTCTCCATTCATGGCCATGAACAGGATCCACATGGTTTTGCCTCAGTGCATCGTGTCCAGCATCCAAAGAGGCAACCAATTGTCACGCAGCTGACTGTCATGGGGGCAGTTCATCAGAGCAAGGTGCGGCCAACACCAATAGCAACTGCAAGTTGTGTCCCTCCCCCAGCCAGCACAATTTTTTTGGATGCGGCACCTTCTCGTGTCACCACCCTAAAGGCCCTTGGTGTTCATGAATGATCCTAACATCTGTGAGTGGGAGGGCCATTGGCGATCATGGAGTGATCACTCTGCTTTGACTTCACAAAAACCTGGCAAACCGATGCCTCGCATCACGAGGGCTGACTTTGGCTCTGCCTAGGAAGTCCAGCCCAAAACCTGACGCCTTTCAGAGTAGTGATCTCATCTAGGACCTCTCTTTTCAAGCACGCATGACTGTATAAATCTGTATATTACTGTATGTCTATTGATTCTTCTTGTCTTTTCTCCTGTTGATGCTTATTACTTTTTGATAATGGCGACAGGGGTTAGGCCTTGATTTGGCCCTTCCAGCCTGGCTTTCCCAGCTTGTTGGGCAGCACAGCACTAATTGGCGTCATTC